TACCTCAAATCCAATCTCAACCTGCAAAAGACGTTCATCAGGAAAAAGTTCTTCAATAACATCATTACCGAAAGAGTCTACCAAGTCAGCATCTGATCGTGATAAATGATCAGCTGCTTGATTGGCGGAACCCCTCCGGTCCCTAATCTCTATGTTAAATTCCTGCAACAACAAAATCCAACGGAGAAGTCTAGGTTTAGAGTCGTGCTTCTGAAATAAATATCTCAACGCCGAATGATCGGTGTAGATAATTATTTCAGATAAAATAATATACGACCTAAACTTCTCCAAAGCATACACAATAGCTAGAAGCTCTTTCTCTGTAGTGGTATAATTCAATTGGGGTCCCGCTAAGGTTTTGCTAGCGTAATAGATGAGGCGTAAGTGATTATCCTTCCGTTGGCCAAGAATGGCCCCGACCACCTCATCGCTAGCATCGCACATTAGCTGAAAAGGGATTTCCCAATGTGGAGCAACTAAAACTGGAGCTTCCATCAACTTAAGTCTCAAACAGTTAAAAACAAGCAAACATTCATCATCAAACAAAAAATCAGCATCTTTCTCAAGCAAACAGGTGAGAGGTTTGGCTATTTTTGAGAAATCCCGAATAAAGCGACGGTAGAAGCCAGCGTGGCCAGGAAAGCTACGGATAGCCTTTACGGTCGTTGGAGGCGGGAGTTTCTAAATGGCCTCAATTTTTGCCTTGTCAACCTCAATACCCTTAGATGACACCTTATGACCTAGCACAATACCCTCCTTGACCATGAAGTGACACTTTTCCCAACTCAAGGCCAAGTGGGTCTCCTCACACCTAATCAACACTTTCTATAAATTATGGAGGCATTCATCAAATGACTCCCCAAAAATAGAGAAGTCATCCATAAAAACCTCCATAAAATCACCAATAAACTTCTCAAAGATAGCTATCACGCAACGCATAAATGTGGCAGGGGCATTGCATATATAGACCAAAAGACATCCTACGAAATGCAAATGTCCCAAATGGGCAAGTAAAAGTGGTCTTTTCCTAGTCAACGAGATCAACGTGTATTCGAAAGTACCCGCTCATCTCGTCAAGGAAACAATAATAAGCATGCCCTGCCAAATTCTCAATCAACTGATCAATAAAAGGTAAGGGAAAATGATCCTTCCGAGTGGCCTCATTTAGTTTACGATAATCAACGACCATCCGCCGCCCGGTCACCGTCCTACTAGGTAGGAGTTCCCCCTTCTCATTTTGAATCACCGTCATACCCCCCTTCTTGGGGACCACGTGAGTAGGGCTAACCCATTGGCTATCTGAAATTGGGTAAATTATACCCACATCCAGAAGCCTCAGGACTTCAACCTTTACCACTTCCATCATCTTGGGGTTTAAACGTCGTTGCGGTTGCACGACAATTTTATACCCCTCCTCACACTTGATTTTGTTGGTACAGAAGGTTGGGATAATCCCACGGAGATCCTCAAGCTTACGCGCAATGACTTGTTCGTGACGCCTAAGGACATCCATCAATTTTTCCTTTTGTCCCGACTCTAACTGGGCTAAAATAATGACAGGGTGTTGGCCCTGTGTGTCTAAAAATGTATACTCCAGGTGACTAGGGAGCGGTTTGAGTTCAGGAGTAACCTTATCGGTGGGCTGCTCCTCAAACTCAGTAAGCAATGTAGGGTAAACATCATCCTTAATCACCTGCTCGCAATCAGCAATCATTTCTTCTTCATTTTCAGCCACCATATCCCCACATAATGAATGTCACTAACAGGTGGGGTAATATCACTATCGCCTCCAAATAAATAACCCTCCACTGACTCAAACATATCCAGATAATTGCATGATTCAGTGGAGTCTGAGGCCTTACTCATCACATCTGAGAGTTTAATGGTACACACATTGTCCCCAACTCTTAGAGAAAGTGAACCATCAACAACATCAACAAGAGCATGATTTATCAGATGCTCCATAAATCTAATCAGGTTTGTGTTATCGTTGCTTCTCTTCACCCGTGTAGGGAACGGGAGAGGTGGAGTCGTCTTACTCTTCTCTTTCTTCAAAGAATCTTCTTTCTGAGCTTCATTACTCCTGGAAGGAATAGGGACAACCACTGGTTCTTCTTCAACCTGCTAGGATTTCGGGTCTTGATTCCGTTGGTCATCATTTTGTTGAGGCAATGGTGGAGTATTAACTTCTGTAAGGGTCTTCCCGCTGCGTAGTGTAACGGCCTGCACTTGCTCCCTTGGATTGGGTTCTGTTGAACTCGGAAGGCTGCCTGGTTCTCTAGGAGCAAATGAACTAAGTTGGCGGATAAGAGCTTCTAGGTTGCTGAAACGCTGGTGCATCTCCGCTTGATTTTTGGCTAATTCAGCCACTGTTTTCTCTAGCGCTGCATTTATCGGAGGTGGTTCAAGTTGTCTTTGGTGAGGCGGGACATAAGCGGGCTGATTTGAATTGCCTCTATTCTGGAAATTTGCTTGGAAATTGGGAGCATTCCGCTGCCCCTGATTCTGATTTTCAGGTCTCCACGAGCCTCCTCCTTGCTGAAAGTTTCCTCTCTGAATTTGATTGTTGAAAAACTGCCCACCAGCTCTCTGCCCTTGACCGTATTCCATGAAATTCACATCACGGGCCACTGGAGCTGCCTGATTCTGAACATAAAGGGGGAAGGTGTGAGTGAGGTGAGCTCCCATGCACATTTCGCAAGATAAAGCTAGTTCTTGGCCAGTTGGACTTGGATAACTTGCTCGAATGGGAAGTGGGGCAGAATACATTGGATAAGAAGGCTGATATGCCCCAATATTATGAACATGTTGCTGGCGAGAGGTCTGTGCCTTCAAGTCTTTGACATCCACTGCCAGTCCCTCGATCTTCGCTGTGAGTGCAGTGATGGGATCTAAATTGAGCAGACCATGTGGATTTTGAGCTCTCTCCTTGCCCGCGTACCAATATTTATCATTTGAAGCTAAATTCTCTATTATCTGCTCTTCTGCCTGTGGGGACAATTTTAGAAACATACCCCCCTGAGATGTCTGGTCTAGTTCTCTCATATACTCCAGCCGAAGACCATTATAAAATCTGCACATAATGGTTGCTGAATTCATGAATGTTTCTGGACACTTCCTTCTCAGCGTCTTCAGCCTATCCCATGCTTCACTGAAAGTCTCGGTCGGAGCTTGAGTGAAGTTGAGAATTTCTGTCTGAACTTCGATAGCGGCGGAGGGAGGAAACTACTCCCGCATAAATGCCTGATGAAGCTTCTCCCATGTATCAAAATGCCCGTTTGGAAAGTTACGAAGCCACCGCGATGCCTTATCTCTCAACGAAAATGGGAATAAGGTCAACCTCACTACCTCACTGCATACCCCATTGTATTTGAATGTCTCACATGTCTGAATAAAGCTCTCAATATGCTCCATTGGATCTTCATGGGTGTATCCACAGAATGGATTATTGACCAGCATCTGAATCATGACCGGCTTGATTTCAAAATTATTGGCCTCAATGGTAAGTGCACCAATGCTATTTCTCGCCACATAGTTAGGTGTCAACTTCTCCAGAGTTGTCTCATCGGCCATTTTGTTCAAGTCTTCTAGCAACCGCCTTTTAGCTCTTCCTCGGAATAAGCGTTCAGGATCCGAATAAACTGCAATTAAATCTTGTTCCCCCGAGGAGCCAGTGTGCATGCACTAGTTTCTGCAGCTTAGTTCACGTGCAAAGAACACCAAAAATAAAAACAAATAACAGAAAAGAAATAGAAAGTCTCACCGACTTGCTTTTACGTATTCCACAGAAAGTACTTAACAAACAATCGTGCCACTCCCCGGCAACGACGCCATTTGATCGGTGTATTTTTTAGTGAGTGAAACGTAGTTGGCTAATTCGAAGAATAACCAGACAACGAGTATCGTCTCTCAAGGAGTGGCAAAAAGGAAGTTTTAAATACGATCCGTGATCACGGGCTAGCACAAGTCATGGTAATCTTTCCAAATAATTTTGTTTTTGGGGTGGTAAAAAACACTAACTAACAGCGAGTGCAAAAATAAATAGAGTAAAAAAAATTAATTAAATTGATTCTAGATTTTAAAACAGGGTTCAAATTAGATGGTTCAGGTTCAGGGTGTGACACCGCACCCGAACGTCCTTGAAATTCAAATTGAATTTCAAAGCTTATGTGTTGAATTTCCCTATTTTCGAACAATTGTAAAACGATTAAAAATTTTACGGAACATATGATTAATCATATTACTATTTGGGATCATATAATGGTAATGGACTTCTAAATAATTAATTGGGCCATATTATTGATATTGGGGCCCAACATTCTAAAATAAAGATATACAACCTCTCGGTACAATGTAAGAGCAGTCGGGCAGCCCAAATGCTATTTTGGGTCTAACCTGCTAAAAATAACAATTATCCAAGAATGGCGTCCTAGATCCACTGGAGGGTGACCCACTGGAGGGTGACCCACACGGTTAGTAGCTCAGCTACATGAATATTAATGTCATAAATAAGTGATAGAATGATAAGAGAAGAATACAAATGCCTATGGTCCCATGTTTGACATTATTAGGCTAAATAATGGGAGTAGGGTTTTCTTTTATAATTATACATCATATAAATTATTGGGACCATCCTACACATATTAGAGACCAAATAATATGATGTAGAAGGTAGACTTGATTGATCTAAATAAATTGGGATGAGTACATAAAGTACATCTTATGACAAAGAACAAAAACAATAGGACCCATCTTTCCACTTTTGGAAGTATTGGTGGATATTTTGCTCCTAAATTAATTAGGGGACATGATAGTACATCTCACACCTTCCTTCCACCTGCAAGACAAGAAAAGTGATGTTAGGGGGCGGCCACAGCTGGCTTTAGGGGCTGAACTTGACAAAGGAAGTAAACAGGGAACCCCACCTTGTCTATTTTCGCACAATAAGGGAGTGATGTTTGTCTCCGTCCATAAGTGAAGTTGTACTCGACCAAAAAATGTGAATGAGGTGTTCCTGGATAGCCCTTGAAGTCTAGTTGACTTATTGGGTGGTTTCTGTGCGAAGAGAGAGATATTTTCATATAAAAATCGAGCTTGATTGAACTGTTGCGCATAATCTCGAGCAGGGAGAGGGAGGTGTTGTCTGGTTCGTATATTGAGTTCCAGTTGTCCAAATAGGGCGTGTGATGTGTCTACGGAAATCTCTCTAGACTAGGAATCCTTGAACGTCTGTTGTGCATCAAACAAAGTTGTGGAAGGCTTCCAAATAGTCCGAACAAAACACAACCTCGCAGAATCGGATCTTCCTTTCCAAAGTGAGTTTTAGCCTCAAAACCTTTCTTTTCATTTTCCAAATGATATGAACGATTGGTGGAAATATTATACACTATTTCAAGTGTATAAAATGTTATTATAAGGGTAACTTATTTGTTGTAAAGGTTAGATGCTAACCCAGAGCAATCTTGAAAAAACTAGGCAACGAGTTCGCCGGAAAACACTCATTCTAGGGGCTGTTTTCGTATCGACTTTTAGGGGTTGAGCTAGCACCTGTTGGGAAAATTTGAAACTATTTCAAATAAACTAATAAACAAATTAATATTAAACGGCCAATTTAATGTTGGTGGATGCTCTCATAATGATTAAACACTTTTGAATGCATACGTTCTCTTGGTGTCTAATTAATCTATTTAAATTTATTTAAATGGCTTGAGAGTATGGACATTGGACAGCCAAGGTTTAGTTTGTAACGTTCATTGAATATGTTTTCTATTAAACCACTCATTAAAATTTACTCTTTGCAACGGAGCCTTTCATAATGGAAAACGTTTTGGCTAACTTAAAAAAAAGAATTATTTACTTCGTATAACTTTTGTTTGGATCACTTTGTATTAATTTTCTAACGTATATACGGGATTATACCTTCATATATGTAGTATATATATACTTGAAGTCTCTTATGAACAAGTAGGGGTAGAGTGTGTTATCTCTTTTCAAAAACCAGCTGCTGGATTACATTACATATTTTCCTATCCTCGTAGATTCTGTGTCCGGCATTTTACCGAAGGGCTCGTTATATCCTGGGGGAAGATTTCCGGCCACCGGAAATACTTTCTTGAGGACAGCGTCTTGCACGCGTCTCGAGCTTTATTTTCTAACGTTGTTTTTGCAGGTTTCCGACGACGATCCTCCTAACAATCTCAAGAAAGTATCATGTCGTCTGAACAGCCTGCCCATCAACTCATCTCCATTCCCGACACCCCCGTAGGGAAAACATCTGCGGTGTCCCAATCCACTGCCCAGGACATATCCACACAACTCCACAACATGCAACTTGATGTGCAATCTGTTCATGCGAAGCCCTTTCCCGATATTTCCAAGATAGAAGTATTTTCGGGAGCAAATTTCAAGAGATGGCAAGAACGTCTATTCTCCACTCTTGATATGCATGGCGTTGCCGATGTTCTTAACCAAGCCATGCCCGATGACAAATCACCTGAAGGCGTCAAACTCCTCCAACAATGGACCTACGCAAACAAGGTTTGCCGTCACACAATTCTTAGCACTTTATCTAACGAGTTATTTGATGTCTATTGCACGAAAAAATTGGCGAAGGAAATATGGAGTTCCATGATAGCTAAGTACACAGCCGAGGACACTGTCAAGCAGAAATTTGTGATAGGAAACTATTAGAAGTGGGAGATGAAGGAGGATACAGACATCATGGCGCAAATTCATGAGTACCAGACGTTATTGGAGGACCTTAAGAGCGTCCAGATAGAACTACCAGAGCCATTCATTGCAGGGATCCTAATTGAGAAATTGTCGGAGTCCTGGAGGGACTACAGATGGGACCTCAAACATGATTTTGGGCTTATGTCGTTCAATGATGTGATTACTCACATCATCATTGAAGACACAAACAGGAAGGAAAATGCCAAGTGTCAAGCAAATGAATATACTTCTAATGCAAACTTGATGGAGACAGAGAACAAAAGGAGGTATGGGAAAAATCATTCTAACAATAAGTCAAATTACAATAAGCCCAAACATACCACCAATTTAAAAAAGAAAGGTGATTGTTATGTTTGTGGGAAACCGGGACACCATGCCATTGAGTGTAGGAAAAGGGCGTTTGTGAAAACAAAAAATCCACCTAAACCAAGTGCAAATCTGGTTGAAAGTGATGACATTATAACTGCGGTTGTTTCACAAATTTGCCTTGTGGCGGATGTAAATGAATGGATAGTAGACTCGGGGGCTACTAGACATATTTACCAAGATAAGAGTGTGTTTGCCTCCTATACACCAATAGGGGATGAAGAAGAGTACGTACATCTTGGTGATTCTAGAACAACCAAGGTGCACAGAAAGGGCAAGGTTAACCTCAAACTCACATCTGGCAAAATGTTGTCACTCAATGATGTACTCCACGTGCCTGAGATACAGACCAATTTGATCTCTGTTTCACTTTTGGGTAGAGCCGGTGTCAAGGTTTCCTTTGAATCTGACAAGGTGGTTCTCACTAAAAACAACACCTTTGTCGGCAAGGGCTATTGCAATCAAGGACTTTTTATGTTGAGTGTTTTAGAGGTGTTAAAGTGGTTGATTTTAATTGTTGATTAATAAGTTGTGAAAAACATCAGTTTTCGTTTCCTTTTCTTGAAGAATAATTGGTGTTTCGTTGTTAGCATCTCTACTGTGTTATGAAATTTCGTTTGAATAAAATGTGCATTTAACTTGTTAATGGCATGCCTCTGAAGGTTCAAATTAGCAGTATTAATTAGTAACCCTCAATTCCATTGTTTTTACCTGAATAAAATGTGCATTTCAAGAACAGCATGTTCTGTTGCTTTATTTTTTTTTGGATCTTGTATTCCTTATTCTCATAAATGGTCTCGCACGTAGTGATCGATGAGAGTTATGAATCTCTACTGTTTAACATGTTTGGTACTGGTTGTTTGCTTTTTTTCTTTCCTACGAAGGTTTTGATTATGGCCAACCTGATTTTGCATTTTTTTATTCCCTAAAGCTGTAAAGCTAGCGCCTAGCGGTATAAGAGTATTTTGATGGTTTAATGATTCTCTATACTTGAATGCTTACGTGAATATGTTTTTCTTTTGCATCAAACAACAGTGAGTCATGTGAGATTTTCAATAAGGCTGGTTAAGTAATTAGTCTATGCACGTAATTTTAATTTTTCAAAATTGTGGGGGCATTTGATCCCTTTGCTATTGCACATAAATTAAATGTAAATGTATATTCTGAGGTACTTTTTTTTATTAGTAGAGTTAATTGCACATTAGTGGGGGTATGCAAATAATACACTACGGAGTATGAGTTGTTTCTTTTCAGTAACTTGTTTAACTTGCGAAGCTATAATTAGATTGAATAAATGGAAAGATATTAGTCTCATATTATTGATTTTCTAGAGGTTAATCTTGATGCTCAAAGTGTGAGTTTGTTATCATTTGTCAAACTATGTGTATGTGAGACCCGGCTTAGTGTCGGAAGACTGAGCAAATTTATAAAAAATTCAAATGGGATAAATAATAAACTACCTTAAAAGGGTATTGAGATACTAAAGAGGTATCATTAATTGTGAATGAGAATATCCGTTGTAATATATTGATACAACGATGATATGCTTTATTGAGAAATATCCGTTGTACTAGAACAGTACAACGATGTTATATTTGAGAATTATTCATTGTATTAAAGAGATACAATGACGAGATAATTTTTAAGGGATATTATTGTATAGACGTATACAATAATGAAATATCAAGTTATCATATAACTTTAATGAGTGGAGTTGATAATCTCATCTGGCGCGCGGAAATCCTTGGATATTATATATGATATACACCGAGAGAAATGGACTGTCACTTGATAACAAATAGGGATGGTAACCCAACCTATGTGATTGGAGATCCCATGAAGCAGGTTCATATGGGTAATAACAAGTCTTCTACTTGTTCTGCTAGCCTATTTTAAATGTCCATTTCTAGGGTGAGGCTAAACTGCATTCCTTGTGAGACTGAGTTAAAACTCTTAATGATTGTCATAGCCCGTATGGGTGGTGTGTTAAGTGCGGGACACACTTGATGAGATCACCTATATGAGTGTGAGGTGGGGCCGCCTCCTTGAAGCATTGACAACGCTTCTAGAGCACTCAAGAAAACCAGGCACGCGCACGGCCGAAAGGCGCACAACGGCGATAACGCGAGGAATTGTGGGGAGTGAGACACGACCGTTAAGACCCTAATTTACGAAAGTAGCTTACTGGTTCATAGAAACTATATGTTTCACCAGAAGCTCGGTTTATAAAGACTTAATCGTCTCGGTTTGGTTCATAGTCTAAGGACACCAGACCTAAAATCTCATTCCTGTTAATCCTGCAGAGGTCCAAAATTATTTTGAAAATTGTTTTAAACTCAAATGTTTATTTGAAATATGTGGGGGATTGTTGGGAAAATTTGAAACTATTTCAAATAAACTAATAAACAAATTAATATTAAACGGCCAATTTAATGTTGGTGGATGCTCTCATAATGATTAAACACTTTTGAATGCATACGTTCTCTTGGTGTCTAATTAATCTATTTAAATTTATTTAAATGGCTTGAGAGTATGGACATTGGACAGCCAAGGTTTAGTTTGTAACGTTCATTGAATATGTTTTCTATTAAACCACTCATTAAAATTTACTCTTTGCAACGGAGCCTTTCATAATGGAAAACGTTTTGGCTAACTTAAAAAAAGAATTATTTACTTCGTATAACTTTTGTTTGGATCACTTTGTATTAATTTTCTAACGTATATACGGGATTATACCTTCATATATGTAGTATATATATACTTGAAGTCTCTTATGAACAGGTAGGGGTAGAGTGTGTTATCTCTTTTCAAAAACCAGCTGCTGGATTACATTACATATTTTCCTATCCTCGTAGATTCTGTGTCCGGCATTTTACCGAAGGGCTCGTTATATCCTGGGGGAAGATTTCCGGCCACCGGAAATACTTTCTTGAGGACAGCGTCTTGCACGCGTCTCGAGCTTTATTTTCTAACGTTGTTTTTGCAGGTTTCCGACGACGATCCTCCTAACAGCACCTTGAGGAGGCTGTCTAAACATAAATTCTAAGCAATGAATCAGTTCTCAAACTTCCTTGGCCGAAGCTTTGAGCATTGGATTAAAAAGGAAAGGTTTAAAGCTCATTTGAGGTGAGGATCGACATCTAGTTGCTTACAACTTGTAGGTTAAGCATGAGATTACCTAAATGCCTCAATCATGTTTTTCATGGATTATAATGACTAATTATTGATGAAATATTGATATATTAGATAAGGAATGAAATTGAAAATGATTTGGAAATCATATTGATAAAAATGGAGTTAAATGAACTATTGTGTGAAATAGGCATTTTTACTCATGTGTGAATTGTGTAGGTACATAAATGATTATTTATGTACTACATTGGATGATTAAGTTGCTGCTACATATCTCCAAATATGTAGGGATTTACAAATGAAATATATGATTGATGGGAATAATCTTAATAGTATTGAAATACTAGTTAATGATTGTTTGTAATTGTTAAGGAATTGAATCTAAGGATTTGATCGTAAGTGATGTACTTGATTGTGGTTCAGTGACTAAATTGACGTAATATGATGTAAGATCATGGTGAGGAAGTCCGTAAGGATGTCCCAAAATAGATTATTGATATTACAATTCTAGGCATAGCGAGTGCTTAGGAATTGGGGGTCTATGCCAATGTAAGGAGATGTACTTGAGCCCGATGCTCTAGAATTGCATTGGGTAGACATAAGGTTTAGGTTCAGCCCATGTAAGGAGATGTACTTGAGCCCGATGCTCTAGAATTGCATAGGTGAACATGACACTGGAGATTGGTGGAGTAATTAACTGGTAGACATAATGTTTAGGTTCAGCCCATGTAAGGAGATGTACTTGAGCCCGATGCTCTAGAATTGCATGGGTGAATATGAAATTGGAGATTGGTGAAGTGATTAACTTGTGATTCATGTGAATGGTGATGTAGTCGAGTTGGACTCAAGAAATGCAAACATACGTGTTAGGGTTGAACCCTATGTATTGTTGTGACTAGGGGTCACGGGGTTTGGATTATGTTTTGAAAATAAACCTTGGGCCTACGGGCCGACTACTTGACTTTATATATAAAGTAAGTATATTTTGAAAAGGGGTAACTTGGTGTCTACTGTCAAAAGCATCCACTGAGCAGAACAGTTTGTGGCACATGCGTCTTTCCCATCTGAATTTCAAGAAACTATCCATCTTATCCTCTAAGAAACTTGTGAAAGGGCTTCCTCTGTTAAAGTCTTCCGCTGACAATCATTGTAGTGCCAGCAAACTAGGCAAAATGACAAGAAACTCACACAAGACAAAACCCGTTCCTTCCTCCAGCCATCCGCTGCAGTTAATACACATGGATCTGTGTGGACCTATGAGAGTTCAAAACATCAATGGTCGCAAGTACACTCTTGACATTGTTGATGATTTCTCAAGGTACACATGGATAAAATTCCTACGTACGAACGATGAAGCTGCGGAAACAATTATGACCTTCATCAGAACCATACAAAATCTGCTACAGAAGAGTGTCCGCATAACCAGAATAGACAATGGTACTGAGTTCAAGAATCAAATTCTTACTGATTTCTACGAATCTCAAGGTATCACTCAACAATTTTCTGTAGCCAAAACTCCTCAACAGAACGGAGTTGTTGAGAGAAAGAACAGAACACTTGTCGAAGCAGTACGCACCATGCTCAGTCAATCCAGACTGCCTCATTTCATGTGGGTAGAAGCAATCAATACTGTTTGTTTCACACAAAACAGAACATCCATTCACAAGCGCTTCGACAAGACTCCATACGAAATTCTTTTCAACAGAACTCCAGATATCTCCTTCTTCAAGATCTTTGGTTGCAAGTGTTTTGTACTGAATGACCGAACTGAGAGAAGTAAGTTTGACCCGAAGGCCAGAGAAGGCGTGTTCATTGGCTATTTCCTTCAGTCCAAAGCTTACAGAATCTATTTGAGAGAAAGGCAAACCATCATTGAGAGTGTGAATGTTGCATTCTATGAAATGGCAGACTTCGCAACAGAACACTTACAGGATGATTCGACTCCTTCTGTATAACAACCTTCTGATGAAGACGATCCCAACCACGTACCCGAAGGTGTGATTCTTGACTCTCTCTTCAGACATTTCTACAAGAATTCACAACCTTCATCTCCTCCATGCACACCAGCTTCAACTCCAGAAGTTCCACTCCTGCCTTCTCCGCCAACTGCTCATTGACCTCCTCCATTTGATCATGAGGATTCTACTGAACAAGGCATGTGGCCTCCTCCGACTCGAACATCCTCAGTGCAGACCACACCTGAACAACAAGATTACGAGGACTCGGATCAACCAATCATAACTCCAATGCCTCTGGCACATGAGAGGAAATGGACGAAAGCTCACCCGGTTGAACAAATTATTGGTGACCCGAGTCGTGGAGTCTGCACTAGATCTGCATCCACGAACGCGTGCTTTCTAATCCAAACCGAGCCATCCAAAGTCTCTGAAGCACTTACTGATCCAGATTGGGTGATTGCCATGCAAGATGAGCTCAATCAATTTGAGAGACTACAAGTTTGGACAACCGTGCCTAAGCCACAAAAGAAATCCATCATATGC